TTCAAGTTTCATAGATTCAGCTGCTATTATTATTATTATTATTATTATCATCATCATCATCATCATCATCATCATCATCATCATCATCATCATCATCATTATTATTATTATTCAATAACTTAGGGTCAATTAGTTCAAATCAGTGTTTGTACTTTTGTTCCAGCATTACGCCTGGAAGATGAGCATTTAAGCATTGACTTTTTTCCACTTCTGTTGTTAAACATTGTTCTGTTCTATTTTGACATTTAATATCTCATATACCTTCATAAAAATTGGTACAGCTTCACCATTGGCAGGCAGAATAATATGGGACCAACTTCCACCAGTGCTTGGGCTTGTACTACTGAAAATACCAGAAAGATTATGAACCCAAGGATTGTTTTGATTTATGGCTACTCTTTCCATTCAATTTTTTTCTGATGGATCAATAGTCAACTACCCATTAAGAAAACATATGCTCAGATTCATATATAATGCTGAACCATTGTAGCAGACAACACACTATGGTTACATATTCTGGTTAGTTATGATGTAATTAACCATCGATCATGAGTTCATATTTGTATTTTAATATTTAGTCTGTTGTGGAAACTTGCCTACTGCCTTTATTTACAGTAAAGAATAATCAAGCATTCCAGGAAGAAGTGAAACTCAAAACCTATTGTAGGAAGAAACTTTATCTAAGATAAATGCTTTGTCTTATGTCTTCTGAATTCTGTACTTTGTATTTTAGTAAGGTTAACTTTCATTCATATCAGCAATTATTGAAAGTATAATCCAAACCTTAAGTTTTATTGTCTGTCATCTAAGATGACAAAGGAGTGACCTTCTACTAGATTCTTCTGATCTCAATAATTCCATGATTCCCATAATCACTAGTGGATACACAATGCCAGTATTTACTTCATTTATTGGAAATCAAAATTTACACAGAATAAGATAGAAACAGTGTTGACTTAGCTCATCCTTTCAAATGGAACAGCATACTACTATAATGAAATCTGTATTAAGACAAATACAAACCACTCAATACTTCAATGTCAATATTACAGTGTTGATTATATGGGAACATACAACTTGCAATGGCTTTGGAATAGGAAGCAGTGTAGGAATTGCACAACAAGCAATGCCCCTTCAATGACTGAATTTTATTTTTTATTTTTTGGGTCAATAGCCTAAGACACAGTTAACAACATGCTTAATTTTAAGGTGATGGATGCCTCAACTGAGCTTCTAAGATACAGATGCTCTAGCGCTTTCAAAAAATATATTGCATATGAAATTAGATGTATCCGTTTACAAGACTTCTATTCCCTTCAATCTAGCTGATTTTAAGCAGTGAGTATTAACATCTAAAACACAGTATACTGTACATTTCCTGCAACAGGTTATCCTGCTCAAATGCAGTCTTTTTCCCTTCAAATGTGGGTTTTTTCAAGCTTTGATAAACTTGATTTAAAGGTTACTTGCCATAAAGTGTACTGAAAGAAAAATGGATCATTTTTTAACTTGGAAACTGGGAATTCCCAATTGGGAAATACTAGATTTATCAGTAACAAAGGAGAGGATTAGTACAGCAACCATTTTGATTCTTATTAGTTTTATTCTGTTTAAGGAGCTCAGCTTGGTTAATCAACATAATTATTATGCCAAGTTAGCAAAAGTATAGGTTACAAAAGTATAGAATAAAACAAATTAATAAAATTCAGTCTGTGAAATTAATGATATTTTTTGTGTATTAAGAGCTAGCTGTTTACAGTTGTTATATATTGATAAATTATAAAATTAACCTATTAATTACTTGACATACTTTGGAAAACACTTGGCAGTGTTGCCTAAAGCAATAAAAATTATGTATTTCAATTCTTTTCCACTAAAAGAAAAAGAGCACCAAGAGCATAGAATATAAAAATGAATCTATAGATAAGGCGGAGTCAAACAAAAGTTAAGTATTCTATAAATAGCTTCACAAATTGCAAACAAAATATGACCACTGTATTAACTGTCACAATTTTCTATCACTGTACTAAAGACAGAAAAGTATTTAAAACATGACATTTTATATGTTAATGGTCACAAGGATTCTCTATGCTTTCTACTAGAAAAGATATTTGATCTTCTCAGAAGAATGGGAATATGCCTTGATGTTGAGAATAAACTGGAATTGTGCCAAAATGGGTTTTCTTATTTATTTTTTTAATTTGATATGTAACTTCCACTATTGACTTAATGTTTTGTTTACTGTCTGTTGCTTTTTTTTTAGCAATTTGTCCTGTGTTAACCAAGCACTTTCAGTTCAAAGTTCAACAGTGACATTTGGTTTTCTTTAGAAAATAGATTTGAAATATCTTACAGTACCATAAGCCTTTAATGGAATATATTAGTTTTATGATACTTGAGATTTGTTATCCAACTGTCCTTCACTATTGTACCTTTCACATGATTTGTATTAACTCTTTCTTATATTCTTTTAAAAATACATAATAACAAAATTAAACTTGGGGTATTTTGAAATATTGGAACAGGCATAAGCAAAATATAGACAAGGATCAATTCACAATTCCATCTGAATTATTCCACAACTGAACTATGCACTAGGATCTTATTCAGGACTAGTGTCTTTACCAACTTTTATTCACAAAAACATGATAGGAAGGAGTAAGAGATGAGAAATTTGGCTCTGTCCTGGGCTCCTCTAGTGGAGCTGCTGCAACTCCATAACAAAGTTCCAGTGGATGCTGTTACGCATATAGATTACCTCCACATGACTGGATCATATCAAAAGGGAAAAGCACCAACTCACATGGTTAGCAAAGGTGTTGGTGTGTGGCCAACATATATGAGGTGCAGGGGAAAAAAATCCAATTTTTTACATAACCTTTTGGGGATACATGAAACTGTAGTTGCTAGGGAAAGAGAACATCAACTGGTAAAGCCTTCCAGTTTCTACCACCTTTAACTAGAAGGCAGTAAAAATGAAATGCATGTTACAGAAAAGTTATAGATATGAACCTTTTTGTTCCTTTGAATGAATACAGTCTTTACAGATACCCCTAATTCTTTTTATTGATAAGTACTGGTTGTGAGGACAAATGAAAGGGATGTCTCTTAATAATATGTAATACAAATTTAAATTATATAAAATAAACTATGTAGAATAAACCTATTATCATGGTCCTACTTTTATAAATGATGCATTATACTTACCTTTTTATGGCTCTTTAGAACAGATGGTGTCACAAAGGCTTTGTCACACAGATCACATTTATATTTCTTATGGCCATCATGAACAACTTGTATGTGAACATTCAGAGTGTCCTTCCTTTTGAATGTAGCATCACAGTGATCACACTTAAATGTTCTTTCACCTAAGAGAAAAAACATAATAATATCTTTTTAACACTATAAATACTTATAAATCAGTGAGTTCTACTAACTAGGCTGAAGGAAGCCAATCTATCTTGGGAAAATAGCAATTTGAACATATTTATTGAAATATATTTTTTCCCCAATCTCACTAGGCCACAGAGTAATGGTCGACCTAGGAGACAGAAGTGCTGATGTTTGTTATGGAATATGTACTTTGGTCTTCCATTACAGCTACAGTACTGCTGAAAAATAATCACTGCATAGCCCTTGCTCTAGGAACCTACATTCAATGTGAATGCCTTGTGCTATTGAGGGAATACTTTTTTATTGCTGCAAGTTGATCCTTGAACTTGAGCTTGTGCAGTCTCCAGCAATGGAAAGACTAAGGCAAACTGTAAGAAAATCAAGCTAGGATACAATTCGTGCAAATTTCTTTGAGCATATTTCATCATTCTGAAACTATATACAAGGTGAGTTCCCATTAACTAGTACAACTAGTACACAACACACATTTTTATATAGTGAAATATGATGTATGTAATTATATTTTTATTGTTTACATTCTTAGAGAGAAAAGGTCCATAAACCTTTAAATGAATAAATAAAGCATCATCATTTTTCTTACTGGACTGAGCATCAGTGCTACTTGACATTGTCTAGAACTTAGCTTGTGTTATACAAGCTTTATTACTATACAAAATATTTTCTTATTTTTGATATACTATTCAAAGCATTATTAAAGTATACCTTGAGTCACAACTAAAAATACTTATATAATATCCTTGGAACTAGAGAAACAGCTACCAAGTGACTGTGAATCAAACCTTATTGCACCTAATGAATTTTATAGTGGAGAAATATAATTTGATTTATTACAAAAATATATATTTTATACATAAAATCAAAACTGGATGTGATGATAAAATATTGAACTATATTATACATATCTTCCCCATAAAAATTATTTTCTTTACAATGAATTTCCTATTTTGTGTGTGGGCATCACCATTCATGATATGATTGCCAGCTGTCATATAATGAATTTACAAGGCTATGCCAGTAGCTGCCAATAATTTACAGTAGAGAAATGGTAACAACCACAATTCATTTGTTGAAAAGTATTACATAATTTGATCAAAACAGGCAGGTTTTGACCTGACAATTTATTTACAAGTCACCAACGTATCAACTTGTTTACTAAGAGAAATGATAAAGCAACAAACCTTATCATTCTAGGTTAAGTAGCCATTAGAAGAGCTGACCATTCAGGTTGATGGTTTTGAGCACTAAAAAAGTCATTTATAATTTCTGAAGCTCACCCTATTGCAAAATGTACTGAAAATAATTATATCTATTGTCCACATTCTATTCATTTATTAAAGATCATTTTTCTATTTAACCAGATACAATAATCATAACTTACAAATTAAAGGCAGATTACACATTAATTGAATTTCATTATTTATCTATACTTTGTTTAGCATGCCCACGTGTGCAATTCTGTGTGGATGTGTGTGTACAAGATGTGTACACATTTCATATACAATTGAATCTGATAAAGATGTTTCATCAGGGCAGAGAGTTACGAATGCAATATTTTCACAAGTACCAAGATTTTGATGATCTGTGAACCTCTTTATCATCTATATTTGTACTTACTGTTATGAATTAGAAGATGTCTCTGCAGAGAGAATGGTGTTCGGAATAGAGCTTTGCATTCCTCACACTGAAATGGTCTTTCTTCAGAATGTGTCTGTAGATGAAGAACATATATAACTATGGCTAAGCTTGCTGACTTCAGTCAAAAGAGATGCCATTTTATTTTACCAAACAAAAACAAAAGGTTTAATTACACATGCTCAAGTAACGGAAAAGCTAATAATTTGAGCGAATATATGCTATATATATAGGCGTGCATAAAAAGGCCATAAATATATAAACTTCACTATAGGTTTTGTTTGGTGTTTCATCAGATGCCACATCAAAAAGGTCTTCTAAATCTTACAGATATTCACATAAAGCAGTCCTGTTACTAATTTTTAGTTAATTGCTTAACCTATCTTCTGAAATGTAAAAGAATTTAGGATGAATTTCTTATCTCATGAATCAAACTTGTTATTTGGCACTAAAGTTAGAATATTTGGATGAATAGATTCCCATGTGCTACCTTCAAAGTGTGTGATAAATGTATATGTTACAAAGCACACATGCCACAAAATACTGTTTTCTTTGCTTTTTTTAAATTTCTGTGAAGCTTGCTTGTTTAACAAAAGACTTACTTTAACGTTAAAGGGTTAAAACGTGAAGGGAACTATGTTATCACAAGACAGTGTGCAGTTACTATATATTGAATTTACATATATTGAAAAGCAATGTTCAGGATAAAAATAAAAATGAATACTCTAAGTAAGGGAAGAAAAAACTGCGAGATGCCATTAAATACAAATGGAAAAAATGTATTTTTGGAGATACTGCCTGTGATCTCAGCTTGCACCTATCAAGTCTGCCCTTGTATTTTCTAGCCAGCTTTGCATTACCTTTGTTGAAACCCTTTAAATGCTTAGCTGAACTTCCCAAGCTAAATAAGTACAAGACTTTGGTGCAAAAGCTTTTCCCCATTTAGTTCATTCTTGCATACTGTATGTACTGACAGACCCTATTTACGTATAACTAAAATGAAGAAAAATAATGAAGAAGAAGCCCCACTGGTCTAGTCCAGAAAATAAAAAAGAACACAGTTTAATAATATCAAACTGCTGAAGCTTAATTCCATTAAAATCAAATTTATGGAATCATAAGTAGAAGGAATCATTCTGTTTCTCAAAGGATTTTTATCTAACAATGAGACCTAATAATGAAGGAATAGAAATAAACAAAATCCCCCATTTTTCTACTGGGTTCTTCAACCCTATGGAGCAGATGTAACAGAATCCTTGGCTAAAGGGAAACTGGGTGAAATGGTGTCTATTTCCCATTAGTGAATAAGTTCATGGGCAAACCCCTCCTCCCAGACAACACCAAGTATGAACTGCATCTTATGTTTGCTGCCTTTGTTGTTTTTATACTCTTTTTAGGGGAGTATTAACTCAGACAACTCTGTTTTTAAAAGAATCCACAATACATTAAAATCATAAAAATGCACTTCATCAAATAAAACTAAGGGCAGATAAAACAATACAAAATTGAAGTAAGGAACCAAAATAACACATACTAAAAGCTTGTGTTACATAATGCTTATCAGCTCATCTGAAGGTTAAGAGAGATAGAAAAAAATAAATATCTGTTTACAGACAGATTTTTGAAACATAAACACTGAAAATGCCATGTCTTCCATCCCAATCAGTCATATTTTTAAAAGTATTGGGATGATTGCTAGAATCTCCAAATCTGACTGCACCGAGCAGTCAGGGCTATAAGAGGTCCACAATACATTACAACTATGTATAGAAGGAACAATGGTTGCACTGCACCAAGAAATGGGGCAGATGGGCAGCATACAAATTTAATAAATAAATAAATAAAAATCAACCAGAAGCCAGTGCAAGTGACAGAGGACTATGGTTATATAATTAACAAAATATTCTTCAGACATGATCATATTTTATACCAAGCAAACTTCTGAGGTAGCCCTATGGTAAGAACATTACATGAATGTAATAAAAAATAGAACTCTACTGAATAATTGCTCTCCTCAAACTGAAGTAAAAGCCTAACCTTGCTTTTCGTGTTCCAAAATTGGAGTGGCCTTGTCATTCCTAATGAATAGACTGAAAGGGTCTTTAAAAAGGGAGCTGTGGCAGATCATTTCATCCCTAATATCTGTCCCATGGGACTGTATAGAAAATGCCTTCCTATCTCATTAAGATTTATCCAGATTAGTTTCAGGGGTAGAGATTGCAAATATACATTGAAACTTTCTATTTGAGTGAATCTAGAAGCCCCACTCAGACCACCCCTCACAAAAACGGAAATGCCTTTTCACATTAATACCAAGGTATATGAAAGTGGTAAATCATCCTTGGCTTTCCTCTTAAATCGTATATGTATACATGTGTTATATATTTATTTTGCAAAACACTTAGAAAAAAATTAGCCTTAAAGAAAGATTTTTTAAAAAATAATAGAAGAAATATGGGTCTATTAGTCATGAACTCCTCAGTTAAAAAAAAAAACTATTAAGAAAAAAGTATAATTAGCTATGTGGAATATTCACTAGAGTGAATATTATAAACACATCTACCAGGCCCCTGTCTCACTCAATTTTTAAATTCCAATGCCGCTTTTTTATGCTTCAGTTTCAGTATTATTTCCAAGAACATTTGTGGATTATTCAAAGGCTTATAGGAATTTTTAGAGAATAAAAATTAAGGATGTAGTCTGCACTGGGTGCAGTCCAGTGTTTTGTTTGTAAATGCAACCACCAGCACCAGAAAAAAAGGCAGCAGTAAGGTGAGGGCTGACTTGGTTATTGATACTGAGGACTGGCAGTGTGGCATGGAAAAAACTCTTATTTACCTTTGGATAAGATACATACATTTGAATAATAAGTAAAAGACTGACTTCACCCATCATGATAATCATTTTGAGAATGAGCAACCTCTTTCCAATAATTAACGTGCTGTTAAAATGTCAGATGTGCCCATTATCTAAAAGGGATTGGGGGCCCTGCTTTAGAAGCAGACAAGACCTTGCCCTCAACTATAAATAATACTCTCTGCCCAGGCTGAAAAACTCCAGGCAAAATACACCTGGATGCACTTTCTCTCTCTCAAGTTTCTCTCTTACTCTGTTTTTTCTTCTATATTCACAACCTCTTATCAGAAAACTCTGGTACCTTTGCTTTCTTTCTACCCTGTTTCCCAACAAGCATGGTCATTGATAAGAATTCTGGGTGTTGCATTTACACATCTGGAGAGCACCCAATCCAGAAGATACTGCTTTAATTTTTAAAAGGTCCCCTGTTTCTCTGGAAGGGAAAAAAGAGGACAGGGCAGGTCTTCCGCTCAATTTTTTTAGAAAGCACGTAATTCTTAATTTGCAGCCAGTCAGGATAGCCATTGCAGATGGGCTATCAGGATAGCTAATCCTGATAGCCCATCTGCAATGGCACAACTGAGAAGATCATAATTCCTGAGAAGAACCATGGGATTTGTAGTTTTCTCAGCCTCCTGGATTGAATCAAAAGACCAGTGAAAGCAAATATTTCATTCTTCTCAGCTGACATTTTCTGCTAATGTTTTGAAAGTGATGTGGAAACTTCTGATCCAGAAAGTGCATTTTCAAGTTGCCCCTCAATTACACAAAGTAAACATTATGTCAACAGTAATGTTACACTTCTTCTGGAAGCCATCTGTAAAGAAGCTCAGAATGCTTTTGTGCAACGTCTGCATCACTAGTAGGGTTGCTGCTACAGAAAAGCCAAATAATGTCTGGATAGAAAGAGACTGAGCTACCTTCTCACCTCAACTGGTGTATCCTCCAGAACAGGGCTGAGACATTTGGATGATACTTTGCTGTGGGGAAGCTTGCACTGCTGCTGATTGTGCTGTACCTGTTCTGTGGATAAATATAAGGGTTCAGTCTCTAGGGCTGTACATCTGGCACATGCATGAGTGAAAAATTCCCCCCATTCAATAAAACACGGGTTTTACTTAGGTGAGTAGCTATCCTGGTTTTGTAGCTCTTTAAAGAACTTCTGATTTTTAATTTTTTTAAAATTTATTTATTTAGCATAATGCTAAGTATGCTATGTATGGAAAAATGATTCAGGCGATTAGGAATCTCTGATTTGTGTCTCATGTCAAGAAATGATTGAAATAGTAACATAGACATTACCTAAGATGTAGATTGGTGGAATATAGAATTCAATGCAAAAGAACATAGACTTCAAAACTGAATATATGGCTTTGGATATCTCCTTTGCATACAAAAGTGTTAATTTAGCTGTATCAACCTTCAAACAAACCATCTCTTTTCTGATTAGGTAAACAAGGTCTTAGTTTATTCTGCTTAGTTGCCAATGATTCCCTTTCCTTTGTCATTTAACAGATTTTTGCTGGCATTTTTAGTTCTAAACTACTGATCTAAGCATTATAAAAATGACAAGAAGGCATTACCAGGGCCAATTTAAATGTAAGAGCCTTTATATTACAAGCCACTAAAAATAATTGGAATGTTTAAAAAGAGTCTCATTCCATGCATTTGCCAAAATGCATATAGCTCTTTCACAGCAGCAACACAAGCCTGGATAATTACTGGTCCCAGCAATGCTGAGATATTATATAAGCTTCAGATCAATGAATTGATGGCTACAGCCCCTTGGAAATATGGTGGGGTCTGCATATCTATGGTGGTTGGGGCTAGAATCAAAAGTTAGTGGGACAACCATTCTCTTTCTTTCCTGATGCTCTCATCTCTTTCAGCTTCACTGCATATTTCTGCCTCATGCAGCAGACTAGGACATACTATGCCACAATTGCTCGCACAGGACATACGAACTTAGAACTTAGGTATAAGTTCTGCAGGAAAATTACTTTGAGAAGTTTTCAAGATTCTGCTACCTTATCCTACTAGCAATAATTTTTTTTCCAGAAATCCAAGTGGGTCTTGTTTTCTGACCTTGCCAGCCTTTCAGGACTTAACAAGGAGCAATCCTGTTCAGTATTTCGAAACACATTTTAGTCTGGATTCAGATCTGGGTTTTGGACCACCAAAACAGTCTTGATCCCTCAGACAGGGTCTTTTATTGGAAAA